AGCTAAGAGTAGGCCATGCGAGAAGCCCCACCGTCTGGCTGTTTGAGGCTAGGTGGTTCCCTGATCCATATAGGACAGCGACTGCCTGTGGTGAAAGCTTGGCAAGCCCTAGCGAGGTTGCTAAGTTTGGGAATTTTTTTATTGCTTGTACAGCATGTAATAAGAAAAGAAGCTCTTTATTGGATCACATCTTTTGACTCCATCCTCTTTCAGAAAAGCATTACTATCATCAACTGCTATTCTTCAACATCAGCAGCTAATGACTCGAATTTTGATGCTTTTTATGAGGATTTGGAGGAAGTCATCCGCAAAGAGAAGTCCTTCTACAAATTTGTCGTGGCTGTCTTCAATACGAAAATCGGGATTTCAGAATTAGGGGAGCATAGGATCGGGAAATTTGGATTAGGACTCCGGAGCGAGAATGCTAACCGCCTTGTTGGGCTCTTATCTGCCTCACGACTTTTTCATGGAAACTCCATCTTTACGAAGAAGAAACAGCGGTGGACATGGGAGTCACCCTACGGTATGACCATGCAGAGATCAACCACAATCTCACCAACCGAAGATGGTGCTTACTACACGTCTCAGTGGTCCATCCTTCAGCAGTGGTTCAAACCACCACCTCCTTCGCGCAAAAGTGTGATTCAGCCGAAAGCAGGAAAAGATCTGTCACCGTATTGGAGGAAGGGGAGAAGTCGTATATGACAGCGCAGGCTGGAGGAGCTCCTGACCACGAAAGACTGCGACTTGTGAGAGCCTGTGGTGAAAGTGCCTCAATGCCTCGAACAAGGAACTTGGAACGAATATCGAAAGCCACGAAGGATCTGCTAGAAAGGAGGAGAGCACCAAGGCTAGATCCGACTGCACCACATCTCGAACTGGTAGCTAATACCAGCTGCAGAACAGCTTTGCAAGAAGATTTTTGAAAGTATAGGCAATCGAAAGTTTTGGTAGCAACAAGAAGGAGAAGTTTAAAGAAGTACCACAAGGATCTTCTCGACTATCT